CAGGAGGATCGCTTGAGCCCAGGAGTTTGAGGTTGCTGTGAGCTAGGATGACGCCACAGCACTCTAGCCCAGGCAACAGAGCCAGACTCTGTCTCAAAACAAACAAACAAAAAGAAATACTGTATCTTACACATCTAGCTCTGAGTTGGCTTCACACAGGTCGATTGTTAAGATGGCTTAAGTGTGGACTTCCTTTGGTTTACTGAGATGGCGTTTGCTTTCACGCGCAATGTTCCTTACTGGGCGGGACTCCAAATGCACGTGCATTTGTGCCCTTTCTGCTGTGCAGACTGGGTTTCCAGTACCCGGCTGCAAGAATGCTTCGGATACACAGAGCAACAACTAATGACTCTCACACAAGCAGGCTGGCCTGGGGCACCCATGGGTTCCAGAAGATATTTGGGAATTTGGACAATTCCCTTCCTGCGGCGAAGGCAGAGTGGGTGGCCGGTTGGAAAACCTTTCTGCCCTCCTGTCGCTGTAGTTAACTCCCGAGATACAGTTCTTTCCCCAGATGTTCAGGGGAATACCTGGAACCTCACCCCCTAGAAGCCGAGCTCAGGTGGCCGGTTTTACCTGTGTATCAGACTCCCACCCACGTCGAATCTCAACTCATGGCCATTGGAAGGGGTGCTGACTCTACACTGGTTCCCTAGGTAACCGGCGCACACATGTGAGAACTGTCCAGAAAGGAAGAGACACAGAAGCACACATGTTCTCCCTTTGAGTCTGTGCTCGCTCCATCCACCTCAGCCCCCGGCCCTGCCCTCAGGAACCAGCCATCGTTTTGCCCGTTCCTCTACTTCATTTGAAATACACAGCCGTAAACACTCAGGGCAGTCAGCAGCATGGCCGGATATAATATTCATTTCTTTTCTGGTTTATTTGTGAAGGAGTCTACCCTATAAATCACTTTAAGCCAGGAAGACAGCAAGCGAAATCGCATCTCCGAATGGAGAAGTGTAGTGTTCTACCGTTAAAATCTAAGCCAACGATGTGCTCAGATCGAGGTTCTCGACGTGGGTACGGTTTCGGTAGCCTTGCTCGAGCCCACGTGGGATGCTCAGAAAGTTGTTT